AAGAAGAAGAAGAAGAAGAAGAAGAAGAAGAGGAGGAGGAAGAAGAGACAGCCAAAAGAAGCATGCAGAGCTTCCCAACCATGAAAGGACCTGACAGCTTTGATAAATGAGACATATCTTGCCCATCAAACTTGAGTCTTTGGGGAGATAGCAGGGAGACAGAGCCCTCTGTTGTTGTCTCCTGGGATGGGACATGATCTATGCAGCTAAGAGCTGGTGGGGGGGGGGAAGTGCACCATGGGCAAGATAGCCCTCTTGCATATTACAATGCAAGGAAATGAGATAAAGTGAGCGAGGGGAGACGGCAGGAAACCACCCACCAAGAGGGAATCCCTAAACTGGAAAGAAAGTATTCTCTCTCTCTCTTTTTGTACGTCTTTATCACTCTTCCATGGCTGGAGACAAATGATGGATGGTTTTCACAGTTGACAAGGTGGCTCCAACCAGAGACCACTGCTGCTGCCCCTTCCCCAACTTTCTGTAGTTGCTTCTCTGGGGAAGAGAATCAGCTCGCTTTCAAACTATAGGAAGAGGGAGCTTTAGGATGAACACTAAATTAACACTAACAACATCGCCAAAAAGGCATTGAAGAGTTGTTAACCTGATTTTGCAAAGCTTCTTCTGTGGCAACGTTGCATTATTAACCAAGGGCAGACAAAACCTTTGCCAGACCAATTCTCGAATACAGCTCATCCGCCTAGAACCCGCACTGTATATCGGATATTAACACAGTGGAGCGGGTTCAGAGGTATTTCCCGAGTATGCCACTCCTCTACTCTACTCACAATAGAATTCCCTACGCCTCCAGCCTTGAAATTTTGGCCTTGGACAATCTGGAACTGCGCTTCCTGTGGTCCAACGACTTCTTCAGCCCTCAATCACAATAATACACGGGCAAACAACCAATACAAACTCAAGGTAAACTGCTCCAAACTCGATGGCAGAAAATACGACTTCAGCCACAGAGTGGTCAATGCCTGGAACGCCCTACCCGACTCCGTTGTTACAGCCTCACAGCTTCAACCTCAAACTATTTACAGTGGACCTCACTCCATTCCCAAGAGGTCCTTAAAGGGGGGCATGTGCATAAGTGCACCAGGGTGCCTACTGTCCCTGTCTCACTGTCCCCATTGATCTGTATTTACTCCCTTTGTTCTTGTCTATGTTCATACTTATATTTGTTATCTTGTATATGTTTTAACAAATCAATAAATATAAAATATAAATCTGTATATGTCAAATATAAAGATAAATCATTCATCATCAAGGAATCAATTTATTTAACCAATAAACATCTCCAGGAAAAGCTCATTCATGACTTAGAAACAAATATGTTTCATTAATGAGATGTCTCTTCTCATAAGTGGCACAGTGGCCTAGTGGTGAAGATGCTCACCTCCCACTCAGGAAATTGAGAGTTCGATCCTAGGTAGCAACTGATATTTTTCTGTCTCAGGGCGCAAAGAGAAAATATCTACTGTGAACTTCGCATAGGCATCAGGTTCAGCTTTGCAAGGGCACTCCAACCCCACCCCAAATCAAGGGATTATAGGGTTGTAAAAAGGAAAAAAACAAGGTTAAAATTAAATAATTTTTAAAAATATTAATTGTTTTTTAAATTAAATAATTAAAAAGAATAAGTGGTGGATTGGGAATCAACACTACGTTCATTTACCTGCTTATCCAATTAAGAAATCTTTTTATGCGTCCTATTGAATCATGCAAGATTTGAAGCTTTTTTAAAAAAAATATTATGCTTGCAAGCACATGTGAATGTACACATGCATTAAACATATGTGCCCACACACTTATGAATGAAAAGAGGCAATCTGTGTATACACAGAGTGTGAGTATGCATGTGTGTGAGTGCTGGCCCATAAACCCTTATATGTCGTTTGTATCCTTACATTTATATTGACTGTTTCCTAGTATGATTTGATTGCTTATTGTACCCTATGACTATCATTAAGTGTTGTCCCTGATGATTCTTGATGAATGTACCTTTTCTTTTCATATATACTGAGAGCATTTGCACCAAGACAAATTCCTTGTGTGTCCAATCACATTTGGCCAATAAAGAATTCTATCTCCTTGAAATGATGATCAGGAACATTTGACTTTTAGGTTATTTTTCAACACTGAAAATTTCCCAACTATTGTCCATGAAGATTCTCAGTCATTCAGATTTAAAAGCTGAAGCAGGGATCTCTATAAAAAGCAGGGTGGTTTTTTTATTATTAAAAAAATGATTTCAAAATGATAGTTTACCAAACGCTAGTTTTTTCCTGTGTGCCTCCATTCCAAATTGGCTCAGCCAGCCAGTTAAAAGCTCTGAAAAGCCTGGCTAATCTCTGGGAATAGCTATAAATTTCAGCCCTCCAAAATAACCTGCCATTAGCTATTTAAGTATTGGAATTAATCCCAGGTCCTTTCTTAAGGCCGCCCAACCTGATAAGTTATCTGTAACCCAGGCACCAGTTATCTTCCTGGATGTAGATTCAACTTCTGTAGAACTTGCGGGGGTCACCTCTCTGTATTTTATCTATGCTGCTGTTAGTAATATGGGCTGAAACGCTCGGAAGGGCAGTCAAGACGACTCTGCTAAATGGGAAACAGAACCGGAGAGAGAAAAGACAATGAAGAAACATAGGAGGATTCAAACCGGAGAAGACCTGAAGCTTCAGCTTTTGGAGTGGGAAGGATGGAAAAAAAAATTGCATTGGTTCACTTCTCTCTACTCCAGCCAAAGCATCGTAGGAGACAGTTGGATAGCATGAGAGTCAATAACAGAATTAGAAGGGGCCTTGGAGATCTTCTAGTCCAACCGCATGCTCAAGCAGGATGTCAGGATTCCAGCAGTTACCCCAATTAAATCATGAGTCTCAAGCCAAACTCTCAAAACTTCAAAGGATTTATTGGAAGTCAACATGTCGACATGACCTGGATGTATCAGACTCTGAGACACGTAATTCACTGTCACCCTTGACCCTGCTTTCCCCCCCACCCCTCTGGGTGTATCATAATTCATATTCTCCAATGGGACACGTCCGTAGCCAAGAGTCATCAATCATGTTGTCCAATTAGATTCTTGTGTGGCCTGCTCTTTGAAACTCCCGTCCTTCTTTCTGTTGGCAACTATAAAACGTGTATAGAAAATGTTTTATGAGTTGACACAGGAGAGCCTACACCCGTGATGACAAACCTATCGCACGTGTGCCACAGGTGGCACTCAGAACCATTTGTACCAGCACATGAGCTGCAGGCAAACTTACCTCACTGCGCATGCGTGTGCCTCACAGCTGATTTTCGGTGGGTTTGAGGCCTTTTTCGGCCTCCCAGAGGCTTGAGGAAGGCTTCTGCAGGCTTTGCAGGACAAAAACTAGCCCCGTTTCATCACTTCCTGTTTTTCCGACAATACCGGAAGTGATGAAATGGGGCTAGTTTTCGGCCTGCAAAGCCTGCAGAAGCCTTCCTCAAGCCTCTGGGAGGCCAAAAAAGGCCTCAATCCGGCCAAAAATCAGCTGTGAGGCATAGTGCAAGTAAGGGGGCGGCGGGAGGTGGGTGGGGATTGCACACACATGCGTAGGGGGTGTGGGTGGCACACATGGCCTTCTGGGTGCTGGCACGTGAGCGCGAGCGTCCAAGCGCACGCACAATTTTGGGCACAGGAGCCCAAAATGGTTAGCCACCACTGGCCTATACCATTTCAGACAAATGGTTGTCTAATCTCTTCTTAAAAATCTCCAGTGATGGACCACCCACAATTTCTAAAGGCAAACCATTCCATCATTCTCAGGAAATTCCTCCTTGGTTCTAAGTTGCTTCTCCCCTCGATTGGTTTCCATCTATCGTTTCTTGTCCTGCCTTCTGCTACTTTGGAGAATAGGTTGACCCCCTCCTCAAATGTTGGAAGACTGCTATCAAGTCCCCCTTAGTCCTCCTTTTCATTAAGGCCAGACATAGCTAGTTGCTGTTCCCGTCCCCACTCTAAAACTCCCAACTCACCTGGTCTCTTGGTGCAGTGGTAAACCTGCCCATGATCCTGAGGTACAGGATAGGGGTTTGCAGGTGGCAATATGTCCTGGGAAGTGCTGGAGACACCGTTCTCACACGGAAACTGGGATCCAAGGTTAGAAGAAGCCGAGAGAGACCTGCCTTCACTGCTGAAGGGACTGTGGTTAGAAGTCACTTTTTGCCGGATTGTGCTTCTTGGGACAACCGGATACTCCTTGCTGAAATCAAAGGCAAAACAAAATACAAAAACAATTAATGCCATGGCAACTTTGCCTACTGTATAAGCAATTCTCCATTTCAAGCCGGTATCCCTGTAGGGATTGAGGGAACCAAGAAAGTGAACGGTTCATTTTCAAGGTCAACATCATCTCTTAATCCATATGCCCAGCGTACAACAAGACCAGCAGTGGGATTCAGCCAATTCGCACTGGTTCGAGAGAGGACCACAATTGAGCCCAACATTTCTGCCATTAAGTGAGACATGTGTTAAGTGAGTTTTGCCCCATTTTCTGGACTTTTCTTGCTGCAGTTGTGAAGTGAATCCCCTGAAGTTGTTAAGTGAGTCACATGGTCGTTAAGCGAATCTGGCTTCCCCATTGACTCAGCTCATCAGAAGGTTGCAAAAGGGGATCATGTGACATGCAAAGGTCATAAGTCCATGCCCATTGCTAAGCCTCTGAATTCTGATCACGTGACCTTGGGGATGTTGCAATGGTCATTAAGTGTGAAAAGCAATCCTAACTTGCTTATTTCAGTGCCGTTGTAACTTCAAATGGTCACTAAATGATGGTACTTCGAGGACGGCCTCTGTAGGAAAATATGGTGCTTGGCCTAGGAACCTGTTTGCCACAACTCTGCACTCAGTTTGTGTTCTGACCAAAGGCTTCCCGAGACCGTAATTAAGCACACACTTATTTAAAACAATTCTTGTTTTATTTCAACGCTGGGACTTATTTTCATTCCCAGCTGGTAATGTGTCCCAAACAGTCCCTCGAGATAAGCACCCACCTTTCTCTCCTTTGAATGGCTGCCAACAACTAAAGTGCCAAATGACCTATAAAAAGCCAAACGAAGTACAAAGTCCACATAGAGCTTCAAGTTTTAAACCGAACAAAGTGAATGACTTTGCTTCCTGCAAAGGTTTCTCTACCTTTGCACTTCCTTTATACCTTATAGGAGGTGCAATCACCTTACTCCCAAGTTGCCCCTTTTGTCTCAGCTGCTTTTGCCTTCTGGCAGCTATGTGTACACGCGCACTGGGAACAGGCTCCCCTTGTTCCTATGCCTCGCTGCTGCCAGACTCTGGAGGCTCTGGAGTCAGCACCCCACTCCCAGATGGTCCTGGCCTCTTCTCTGCATCATACACGGGACCCACATCCAAGTCCTTCCCAGACTCCTGGACTGGTCCCTGTTCTTCCCCACTCTCCGATTCCGCTGCCGTCTGCACCGGCTGCCGGCGAACCACAACAGTTTGCCCAAGGAAGAAAGAATTTGCCCAAGGAAGAATCTGTCATACGGTGTCCAGCTGTCTTCCCCCAATAGCTATCATTTCACCGGCCGTCCACTTCCCCCAAAAGAGAAATGCCTTGAAACCTATAAAATGTATATAGAAGGAGAGCTGGAGCATTTAGCCCAATTAGAAACATGTGGTTGTTTCTGTCTGGAACGCAATCTCTTTCCCACCCTGGACCACTGCCTTTTTGTTAAACCTCATCTTCTTCTCCCCAGTTCCATTAGGGCCAAGGATGAGCTGGAATCGGCGTCAACCACCTGTTCATAATTTCCTACACCCCCCTCCACCCAACGAAGAAGAAACTTTCAGGGAAAGCCCAAAGCTTGTTTCTGACATGACTCCTGCTTTGTTTCCAGGACGGAAGAGAGGATGGGGCCACAAAAAGGACGGTGGGTTTAATTTCAGTGGAAATGTTTTGCATTGCATCGTTACCACCACATGTACCGAATTACCTTCCCTTGCATTAAGCCCCGTTCAGGTTTTCGGGATGATCTCGATGTAAAACCTGCCCTTATCGGACTCCCAACCGTGGCTGAGAATCCACTGTGTTCCCCATCTGCCAGATGTCAAGTGAACATCTGGAGCAGGGCTCTTCAAACTTGACAGCTTTTAAGCAGAGGTGGGTATTCAGCCGGTCTGACCAGTTCTGGAGAACCAGTAGCGGAAATTTTGAGAAGTTCAGAGAACCGGCCAATCCCACCTCTGACTGGCCCCGCCAACCCCATCTCTTCTCTGCCTCCCATTGAGTCCCAGCTGATTGCGACTCAGCTGGGACTCAATTCTTGGTTGCCCTGCACAGGAAGAATGGAGCTGGAAAGCAGGTTAGTGAGGTGAGGGGGGGAATGGAGATTTTGCTAAAACCTTCCCCTAGGAGTAGGGAGGGAATGGAGATTTTATAGTATTTCCTTCCCCTGCCACACCCACCAAGCCACGCCCATAGAACCAGTAGTAAAAAAATTTGAATCCCACCACTGCTTTTCAGACTTGTGGACATCAACTCCCAGAATTCCTCCTCCTCCAGTCATGTTAGCTCAGGAATTCTGAGAGTTGAAGTCCACAAGTCTTAAACTTGGCCAAGTTTGAAGCCCCTTGATCTGGAGAGACCGAAAGGTGGTTTTTCAAAAGGCGGCTGGACTTCCTTGGCGTTTTCCCTGAAAACGTTTCTCTTTTCATCCAAGAAGCTTCGAACTTCTTTCTCGCTTCTTGGATGAGAAGCTGAAAAACATTGTCCGAAGAAAAAGAAAAAAAAAACACCACCAAGGAAGTCCAGTCACTTTTGGAAAAGCGCCTTTGGGTCTCTGCAGATGTTCACTGGACATCTGGCAGATGGGAAACACTCTGGAAAGGTTGAGAGTTCTGGGATCTGGAGTCCGCACCCCTTCAAGTTGAGAAATACGGCGCTGAATAATAACTTACCTTTGCACCCGAGACATCCGGTGTAATTCCATATCGTCGCTGCCTCTGAATCCTTTTGCGAAGGGGTTGTTTTCAATCTTGAGTTGGGTAATCTGAAATGAAGAATCAGAAAGAAGTGGGGGGGGAATCAGTGCTTGTTTGGACAGCAGCTGCCCATCAATCATCTACAAGGAATTTGCCACAAGGAAGAAGGGGTCAACGTATTCTCCAAAGCAGCAGAAGGGAGGGCAAGAAGCAATAGACGGAAACTAATCAAAGAGAGAAGCAATCTGAAATTGAGGAGAAACTTCTTAACAGTGAGGACAATTAACCAGTGGAACAACTTGCCTCCAGGAGTTGTGGGTTCTCCATCACTGGAGGCTTTTAAGAAGAGATTGGACAGCCATTTGTCTGAAATGGTAAGCAGGGGGCTGGGCTAGAAAGACCTCCAAGGTCCCTTCCAACTCTGTTATTCTGTTATCCGGACCAATGTACAACCATTTTCTCTTTAAGAATTAAACTACCTTCACTCTTCAGCTCCTCTTATCAAAAGGAAATTCATCCCATCCACCTGTGGATCTTGCAATAAAAGCACGTGTTTTGCATGATGACACTTCTCATAATCCCCTCCTCAACTTCAGATATTTGGAGAGAAAGATCTCCAAGACACAAGACTATCACATAGCACCCTAGGCCACGACCTCTCTACCTTTGGAAGGCCCACCCATGAGGATTTCCCCACCACCATTTTTGTGGAAAGCCACAAGCTGGGTGGCTTTTGTGTTCTAATTAGTTCCTATGTTGACTTGTCAAGCCCTTTTTGTTTCTTGAGAATGTGTGATAGGAAATCAAGGGAAGGGAAGAGAGGAGAGGAGAGGAGGGAAGGGAAGGGAAGGGGAGGGAAGGGAAGGGAAGAGAAGAGAAGAGAAGAGAGAAGAGAAGAGAAGAGAAGAGAAGAGAAGAGAAGAGAAGGAGGGGAGGGGGAGGGGAGAAGGGAAGAGAAGAGAAGAGAGAAGAGATGTGTGATAGGAAATCAAGGGAAGAGAGGAGAGAAGAGAAGGAAAGGGAAGAGAAGAGAAGGAGGGGAGGGGGAGGGGAGAAGGGAAGAAAAGAGAGAAGAGAAGAGATGTGTGATAGGAAATCAAGAGAAGGGAAGGGAAAGAAGAGAAGAGAAGAGAAGAGAAAAGAGAAGAGAAGAGAAGAGAAGAGAAGAGAAGAGAAGAGAAGAGAAGACTTTCTTTGGCCAAGCGTGATTTTGGAATTTGTCTCCAGTGCAGAAGCTCTCTGTGTACATGCAAAGCAACAGTCTTACATATTATAAGTATGTAATTTATGTGACCTAATATAAATATGTAAGACAATCACTTATATTATACTTATCCAGAATGGTATCAGGTCTCCTGCTTGAGTGGGGAATGGACTGGAAGACCTCTAAGTTCCCTTCCGACCCTGTTATTCTATTATTCTTAAATCAGATTTTAATACTCCCAACATTTTCCACTGACTTCTTTCGTGGCTTTTTTCTTCTTTTCAAGGAGCAAAAGACAGCTAAGGCGGTATCTTTTGACAAACACACTTCACATTTTAGGAACAGACTGTCTGGGAATTTGAGATATTTCCCCACTGATTTGTAGAACGTTGATTTTCCTGCTGTAGGTTGCTAATTCTTCCATGCCAAGAAGATGTAACTCAAATCGTTTGTATTCTAGATTTAAAAACATAAATGCCTTCTTCCTTTTACAAGGTCAAGGCTACGCAAGTGAAAATTGCCCCTCCGTACTTTCTTCTTGTAATTCCTGAAGATGATGTGGTTGAGATGCGAGAATAGCTTTTCTGTCTAAGAATTTTATGAAAAGACAGCTCTGAAAAGCTCCACTGGGTTAAATCGTGGTTTGTCAACCCAAGCCACCATGTTCATAGTTTTCAAAAGAAAGAAAGAAAGAAAGAAAGAAGGAAGGAAGGAAGGAAGGAAGGAAGGAAGGAAGGAAGGAAGGAAGGAAGGAAGGAAGGAAGGAAGGAAGGAAGGAAGGAAGGAGAAAGGGAAGAGAAAAGGAAGGAAGGAAAGTGAGAGGAAAGAGAATAGGAAGGATGGAAGGAAGGAGAGAGGGAAGAGAAAAGGAAGGAAGGAAGGAGAGAGGGGAGAAAAGGAAGGAGGGAAGAGAGAAGGAAAGAAGGAAGGAAGGAGAGAGGGAAGAGAGAAAGAAAGGAAGGAAGGAAGAAAGGAAGGAAGGAAGAGGATGGAAGGAAGGGTCTCCCATGCACCCTTGGCACTGTACACCATCGTTACCCCCTGATGGCAAAGCTTTTTTCCAAAATTTACCCTTTACCTTGTGATTCTGATAGGAGGTCACTGCAATGAAGGCCGTCTCTGGGAAGATGTGGGTGCAAAAGGCTGTGTTTTTGGAGCCAAACCCGTTGTTTTCGTCTGCTTTGACAATATGCAGCCTGGGCTGGTATTTGTGCATGGAGTTGAGGATAATCTGCAAAGGAAGGGTAAAAGTAGGGCAGCCTCAATCGGTTGGGGTCTGGGGGGAGGGTCACAGGCTCTTCCCACCAAGGTCTCCACCCAAGAGGCTCCTGCATGCCTCCGTTTCAGGGTTCTACCTATGAAGGAAAGATCTGCCCAGGAGACATTGTCTTTCCTTTACAAAGGAAAGGTACATCGTGATCAATTATGATTTGTTCTCCAAGCTACAAGGAACCTATTTCATACAACACTTAGCCATAAGCTATGGTTTGTAAAGTTCTGGGTTTGGGATTGTTATCTTGAGCAATATAAGGGTGTGTCAGTGGGGATCGTGTGTAATGTCGCCCAACACAGAGAGGAGGGAGGGGGCGGAGAGGGAGAAGGAGAGGAAAAAAGGAGAAGGAGAGGAGAGTAAGAGGGAGAAGGAGAGGGAGAAGGAGAGGAAAAAGGAGAGGGAGAAGAGAAGAAAAAGGAGAGGGAGTGGAGGGGAGAGAGAGGAGAGGGAAAGGGAGAGGAGAAGAGACAGAGAAGGAGAAAGAGAGGAAATAGAAGGGGAGAGGGGGAGTAAAAGGAGAGGGTGAAGGAGAAGGAGAGAGAAAAAAGGAGAGGGAGATGAGAGGGAGGAGAGGAAAAGGGAGAGGGAGAGGAGGGGAGAGGGAGAAGAGAGGGAGGAGAAGGAGGGAGAGGAAAGAGGAGAGGGAGAAGGAGAGGGAGAGGGAGAAAGAGGGAGAGGGAGAAGGCGAGGGAGAAGAGAAGAAAAGGAGAGGGAGAAGAGAAGAAAAAGGAGAGGGAGAGGAGGGGAGAGAGAGGAGAGGGAAAGGGAGAGGAGACAGAGAAAGAGAAAGAAGAAATAGGAGGGGAGAGGGGGAGGAAAAGGAGAGGGAGAAGGAGAAGGAGAGGAAAAAGGAGAGGGAGAAGGAGAGGGAGAGGAGGGACGAAGGATTTTCTATATATCACGCAGTCTATTTATGGAGGACATTCTTATCCTAGCAAACATCTCCATCATTCCCGAAAGAACAGACAGAGACTTCCACACAGACACACACCACCTTTGCTGTGACACTGCTTATTGGCAGCATGTGTGTGTCCTAATTCCCTCTCCTGTTGCCTATTATGCGCACTCCGGGTGGACGGGGGGGAAAGAGCCACAGAGGGGGGGGGGGGGGGGGGGGGGGGGGGGAGCCTCTTCCCAACTGCAGCTCCTTCCCAGCCTTCCCAGCCTGTGGCTGAATGTTATTCTTTGGAACAAGCCCGAAAGGAAAACAAGCAGAAGGAAAACAAAACGAAAACACTGGCAGGCCGACCTCCGTTTCCACAAGCTGCTTTCCAATGCTAGGAACGGGGGTTTTGCCTGCCGTCATAAAGGCCCGGCTGCCCCATCTAGGTCAAACAGTTGAGGAATATTGTTTTTCCTGGCTGGGAAGTTGCTCCAGGTGCCAACAATGGCATCTGGAAGCCAGTGGGAAGGCCTTTTTAAGCCCGGGAGAAGCTTCTTGGAGAAGGAGTAAGCCTCGGGAAAGCCAAGAGAACTGGAACCAATCCAGGTTTCCTTCAGGAATTCGACTTGATTTGGTTTTCCTCAAACCAAATAGGAGAAGGCAGGAGAGAATTTCCAGGGGCCCAATCCAAATTCTAAGGTGGCTAAATTTGAGTATCAAGGAGACAAACGGATGAGAATTAACAGGGAGAACCCAAGGCTTTGCCATTCACTTCAGAATCAGGGTAGAGCTGGAAGGGACCTTGGAGGTCTTCTAGTCCAACCCCCTGCTCAAGCAGGAGACCCTATCCCATTTCAGACAAGTGACTTGTCCAGTCTCTTCTTAAAAGCTTCCAGTGATGGAGCACCCACGACTTCTGGAGGCAAAGCTGTTCCACTGGTTAATTGTCCTCCCTGTTGGGAAATTTTCCAAAGCACCTGAAGGCAGGACAAGAAACAACGGATGGAAACTAATCAAGGAGAGAAGCAATCTAGAACAGTTGAGCGAAACAAAATAACGGAGTTGGAAGGGACCTTAGAGGTCTTCTAGTCCCACCCCCTGCTCAAGCAAGAGACCCTATTTCAATTTTAAATCCTTCTTAAAAGCCCCCAGTATTGGAGTACCTACAACTTCTGAAGGTAATTTGTTCCACTGGTTGATTGTTCTCACTGTCAGGAAATTCCTTTTAATTCCAGGTTGCTTCTCTCCTTGGTTAGTTTCCATCCGTTGCTTCTTATTCTGCCTTCGGGTGCTTTGGAGAATAGCTCGACCCCCTCTTCTTTATGGCAGACCCTCAAATATTGGAAGACTGATATCATGACACCCCTAATCCTTCTTTTCATTAAACTAGACACACCCAATTCCAGCAACTGTCCTTTAGACGTTTTAGCCTCCAGTCCCCTAATCATTTTTGTTGCTCTTCTCTTCCCTCTTTTCCGAGGGAAGTCACAACATCTTTTTTTATATCGTGGTGACCAAAACGGGATACGGTATTCCAAGTCATCAGAATATTGCAGATAAGGATAATGGCTTGGAAAAGGGATTAACAGATTTCCAGGCTTTTTTAAAAAAAAAAAACGTATTCCACACACAAAAATTAAGCCAGCCAACCTCATCGGTCTTCTGCGCTGGCTCTCTTTGCTTAGGGTGATATCTTGAGTTGTTTTGCCTGCTAGGGAGAATGCTCAAAATGTGGAAGAGATTTGGGGGCTTAAAAAAAATAAATAACCCCAAACAAACTAAAAAAAAAAAAAACAACCATGAAAAACTCCATGGAGTTTTTGTTTTTTTTAACCCTGGTGGAATTAAGAACCGACCAAGACATGTTTCAAATGAAGTTGTGCTCTTTTTTTTCTTTTTTTCTTTCCCCAAAGAGCTCCTTTTCTTCTGATTTATGACCGGTTAGGAGTGGAGCCAGCCGTACGATTAATTCAAACTGTAACTTGGGCTGGGCTTGACTCCATTCTGGGTTTCCCAGATCGTTTAACACATTGTACTGATTTGGTTTTACAAGGCCTGGCCGCCTTCCTTTTCATCTCCCCCTTTCTCCCCACTCCACGCGTCCATGAGTGCCACTTGGAGAGGCAAGCGTTCAATTAGAGTCAACTGTTGACAGATTGTGGCGGCTGGCCGGACACCCCTCAACCCGCTCGCTCCCATCAATTTAAGCCCAACCTGATTTCGTGGTTAAGCACTCCATTGGCTGAGCTTCAATGCTTCAGCTTCAAGTTAATCAAGGCGTCAATGCGACGAAGCTTGCCGGAATAATTCGGGTCGTGGATGCTCCATGTTTTGTTTTTTTTTGATGGCAGGATTATTTTTATTTTTATTTTGAAAGGCACACAAATCCTTCAAGACTTTAAAAGTGGGGTTAGAATAGAATAGAATAGAATTCTTTATTGGCCAAGTGTGATCGGACACACAAGGAATTTGTCTTGGTGCAAATGATCTCAGTGTACATAAAAGAAAAGATACATTCCTCAAGAGTCAAGAATCATCAGAAACAACACTTAATAATAGTCATAGGGTACAATTATAGAAATAGAATAGAATAGAATAGAATAGAATAGAATAGAATAGAATAGAATAGAATAGAATAGAATTCTTTATTGAGAATAGAATAGAATAGAATGTTTATTGAGAATAGAATAGAATAGAACAGAACAGAATAGAATAGAGTTCTTTATTGAGAATAGAATAGAATAAAATAGAATAGAATTCTTTATTGAGAATAGAATAGAACAGAACAGAATAGAATAGAATAGAGTTCTTTATTGAGAATAGAATAGAGTTCTTTATTGAAAATAGAATAGAATAAAATAGAATAGAATTCTTTATTGAGAATAGAACAGAACAGAACAGAACAGAATAGAATAGAATAGAATAGTTCTTTATTGAGAATAGAATAGAATAAAATAGAATAGAATGTTTATTGAGAATAGAATAGAACAGAACAGAACAGAATAGAATAGAATAGAATTCTTTATTGGCCAAGTGTGATTGAACACACAAGGAATTTGTCTTGGTGCAAATGCTCTCAGTATACATAAAAGAAAAGATACATTCATAGGAGTTTGAAAGCTAAAACAGAGGATGAACAATTGGCAGGAACTGGGTATGTCTTGTCACATGAAGAGAAGGACTATGAGTGACATGATAGTTATCTATCAATACTTGAGGGGCTGCCCCAAAGAAGAGGGAGTCAAACTATTCTCCAAAGCACCTGAAGGCAACACAAGAAGCAACAGATGGAAACTAATCAAGGAGAGAAGCAACCTAGAACTAAGGAGGAATTTCCTGACAGCAAGAACAATTAATCAGTGGAACAACTTCCCTCCAGGAGTTGTAAATGCTCCAACACTGGAAGTTTTTAAGAAGAGACTGGACAGCCACTTGTCTGGAATACAAGTGGGGTCTCCCGCTTGAGGAGGGGGGTGGACTAGAAGACCTCCAAGGTCCTTTCCAAGTCTGTTATGCTGTATTCTATTCTGTAGCCCTTGGACAGCACACCGAGACCCCTCCCCCCCGTTTTTTTAAAGCAGCAAGATAGATGAATCAGATTAAAGCATCCAAAGCAAGGTATTTTATCATTGGAAGGAGGAAAATAATTAAGACTATCAATTCCAGAAAGGAATTATATTTGCTGAACGAGACCACCTGCTGTTCTGAAAACTTAAACAGGGTCAGTCTTGGTTAGGATTTGGCAGAGCATCCTAGCACTGGAGTTTAGATTGGGGATTTAAAAAAACAACAAAATGCAGAAGAAGCCAATGGAAAACCATTAGCCAAGAAAGCTAATAAATGTTTTCACCTAATCACTGGCACTGGGTTTGGAAAAGATTTATTTTATTGCAGCAGATTCTACTGAAGATTCATAGCACTGCAGTTAATATGAAGCAGGAACTGATGGTGGGTGGAACCAAAGCAAAGAAAGGAAGGCAGAAAAAAAGAAAGAAAGACAAAAAGAAAGAAAGAAAGAAAGAAAGAAAGAAAGAAAGAAAGAAAGAAAGAAAGAAAGAAAGAAAGAAAGAAAGAAAGAAAGAAAGAAAGAAAGAAAGATGGAAGGAAGGAGGAAGGAAGGAAGGAAGGAAGGAAGGAAGGAAG